AGTAAGGGCACATAGGTCTTTTCAGTTATGTTTTAATAATATAAATACTTCCTGGCCGACTGTGAGAAGTCAGGTTGACTCTTTCAGTTCAAACCAGAAGTCTCTCTTCTCTCTTTCTCTCTCTCTTTCACCTTTCTTCTTCTACATAACTGATCTCAGACAGGCAGAACTCTAAGGCAGACCCGAATTCTAACACATACCCTGTAACTCTTTTACCCTTTATTTTCTTTCAAATTTTCAAAAAAGAACCAAATATAAGAGAAATTCATATTTACCACTCTCCCTTCTTTATCAATTCCATGGTAACCTTAAAGGTAATCTTGCAAAACTTCCTCAATCTCTTCAGATTTAAATTCCTTCAATATGGCATCTATTTCATATTCTCTTCTCCAACTCCCAAATTTATATTGTTTTCCCAATGTTAAACACCCTTCAATAGGAATTTTTGACACAACTCAGGACTGCAGTCTACACTTTTGCACCCTGATATCCTCTATTAAAACAGAAGAAACTCTAATCAAATTTCCTTTTTCCTTGTTTTTTAAGAGAATGGGTCAACTTGCTGGAAGCGTTTATGGATTTTTTTTTTTTGATAGTTCAAAGGATAATATTAAACAGAAACAGAGTCATACAAATATTGTTCCAGCCGGATGGGTGAAACCACCAGACCTCTTGATATATAACAAACTTAGCCCGGTAGGCTAATTTGTGCACTACAATATTAACAGACCTAGGGATATAGTCAACAGTAACAGACTGAAAACAACAAAGCATGACCTGATCCAACAAACCGAAAGGAAACCAAGGAACAACTGAAAACTTCCCCGATAGGGCCTGAATAGCCAATTTAAAATCAGACTGAACAAACAAACATTTCCAACACTGGTTTCCAGCAAAATAATAAAGGCTTGTAGAATGGCTCCCAACTTGGCTTCCAAACTATGCTTAGAGCTTCCTTTAAGAGTTGAGAGAGTCTTCTCATGGGTGAATGAGTCCCCAACTTATTGCCTCCTTATTGTAACCCACATAATATCAACAAAGTTTCACCCAATTTCCTTCTTTTATATTTTTTCTTGGAGCAGGTTTCTTCTATTTCTTTCTTCTTATTTGAGCTACATTACTATAGGTGAAAAGAAAGATTCATTTTGCCAATCTCTTCTCTATTATTTCTGTAAATCGCATTATATGCTCAGTGAAGACTATGAACATATTTTTCTGCTTTTCTCTAATCGGTTAAGTAAGAGGATCACTTTGTGATGCAGAAAAGAAAGCAAGGAAAGAATCCATGGAGAATTAAATCAGTTTTCTAAGTACTACACCAGTTTCAGAATTTTGTGAGTTATAGGATATTGGTATGACTTAAGTTTTCTAAATTTATTTTCTAGTCATGGATGCCTTAGGAATAGCATTTTAAGTTTTCCAAAAACTAAGTTGGTCCTATTAGGATTGGTAGTCAGTTATTAGAGTTGCTTTAGGACTTAGAGGCCTTTTTGGAGCATCCCTGTGGGTTATCTATGGATTTGTCTAAGTTATAAAGCAATTAGAAGTTGTTTTGGGTCAGTTTCTTAGTCCAAACTGGAATGTGTAAAGGGGCATTCGAGTTCTTAAGTTGATTCTATAAATTTAATAATTGATATTGCAATTAAGAAGAGTTTATTTGAAAAGTTTGGTTCAGTGAATTCTAGTTATTGCCAGGAATTCTTCTCTTTTCCCCCTCTCTCACCTATTTCTTTTTATAAGCAACCTGTCTCTTTGTTGTTTACAATAACAGCAAGTGATCTCTCTATTTGTATGTTCTTGCTCATTCATTGGTGGACAGTAAGCTACCTACTTGCTTTTCTACCCTTATTCTTCATCTTAGTTAACCCAAAGCCCTTCTTTCACCCCACAAAGTCCACCACTATACCTGAGATTGTAGGATTCCTACCCGATCTTAAATCACTTTGACAGTTTAATTCTTTGGTATAAAACTAAGCTGGTTTTCCAATACAATGTCCCCACCTTACTATTTAGGGGGAATGAACTTCCTAATCTAGTTACCACCAAATTCCTATAAAATCAATCTAATGCAATACTTAAACCTTGTCATCAATCTCTTTTTGTGTTCCTGGTTAAGTGTATAAAGGGGTTCATGCGTGTCAAGATTTTCTCTTTTTTGCAAGCTGGACCTTTCTTCAGTTGAATCTTTTTGTATATTCCCAATGTAGAGGCTCTCATTGTACACTCTCAGGGGAGTGTATTTGGTCCTACTGAAATCTCGTTTATTTTTGGTGCAAGAAAAAGCTCGTAATCAAGCTAACACCTAAGCATACCTCGGTGCTTAGGTGCTATTGATAATGTAGTTGGCAACATCGAGGTAAAAGTTATTCTTAAATCATCCACAATAAGACAAGCCTTGCAGGATATACAAGGTTCACCACCATCAGTGAAGCTCCTTCAATACCGAAATTCATAGTAAAACTTAGTTGCATGGCGCAGCACAAAACAGGATCTACTTTTACTATCATATATGCTGGCATACTACAATTTCCATCGTTTGAATATCCCCTCAAGAAGCAAAATGGTCGAATTTTTAGGCGCCCATCTAAACATAAGGCCTTTCAAATGAAAACTGGATAAGAAGGTGGGCAAAAATCATTTAGAAAATTGAACCTTAAATGCAAATTGCCTATTTCTTGAAAAACGGCCCTGAAAGTACTAAATTTGTCTAGTCCAACAAGTCCATAACCTGAACTAAGTTCTAGGTAGATAAGCAGGGCTTTCAAAGCCATCTTATCAATACACCGATTATCATTTATCCGTAAACAATATCAAATCTCTCAGAACTTGACCCATGGTTGTTCTACAAGAAGAACCAAGTGAATAAACAGAACCCGAAGGCACAGGCAGAAAAACGTCAATTACAGCAAATCATATTCACAATTTTCCTTTTGGAACCTAAAAATTATACTCTAACATAAGAATCTCAAAACAATCGTAAACATACTCTAACATAAGAAAAGAAATACCTTTTGCTGCTCTGAAGTGCTTCCTGGGATCTGATTGAGAAAAGGGGACGTGGGCACTGACCCATCCGGCGAATCTACGGGCGAAGGTGGCGCCTGACTCGAACAGCGAGCATGAAATTTCGAATAAGATAATGACGAAGAAGAAGGTGGGCCATCCTGTTTGCAGATAAACGAACCGACCCGGCTGCACTCGGTACGGGATAACGAGGAAACCCCGAGTTTTCGAGCTTCAATTCGGGGGAGAACTTGATAGGGTTTTAGATAGATTTTCGAAGGAAGAGGAGAAGAGTAGATAAGCCTCTCCATGGCCCTTTCTCTCCTTCTGTGTTTGTTATTTGCAGTCCCTGAATTGATTTAGAGGTAAGGATTGGGATTTGGGACTTGGGATAAGTTAACAGTAGGACTCGTCCGTTTCACTGATATCGTGAGATCCTGGGTAAAATGGATTGGATAAATACGGAGTCTAGAAAGACTGCGCAGAGGTGGGAGGTCGTGTGCGCGCAGAGGGGGAGGGGGGAGGTGGGTTGGTTTCCAGTTCAACAGAAAAACAGAAAAGATGGGCTTGCAATTGAATCTGCCCAATACATTCTTGCACTCAACATACTTTGGTTGGTGATGTGATAGGGATTTAGAAAGTGGAGAATATAGCAGGGACCAGAGAGAAAGAGAGAGGGGTTTTTGGATTATTGTAGATTCCGAATAAAGAGTTAAATTGGGTCTCTTTTTGACTCTCCATTAAGTCTCAACCACATGATTTAAACCCCAATGTGTTCAATTTTGGTTCAATCAATCAAATGCAAATAAAGTGAGTGATTGATTATTTTATTTGATAATTGAAATTTTCATGGACTAAGTACTCTGTTTACTTTTCAGAGTGATTGTTTATCAATTAATTTGCAGTCTCCTTAAAAAGAAAAGAATAACCTTGTTCAACATAATCATTATTCATTAGTTGACAGCTTCTAATCCTCCTTCTTAATGGGAAGATAAAAGAAATATTATATAATAATAATAATATAAAAGTTGCCTTGGGAGTGGTTGGGCTTTAGATGACTTTTATGATGTGATGGGAATGGAACGTGACAGGATCTGCTCCTCACAAATGGGCGCCTCACAAATATATCTCCGGTAAATAATAATCAATAAGTATAGGAGGGAGATGTTTTCAATGCATAATAGATGTGCATGTGAGGCGCCAGGCGTGAAGAGCATATCCGGTCTCGGTTTCTGCCCAGATAGAATGGGGCCAATTCTGGTATATAATTGCCACATGGGATGTTTTTTAAGGCGAGAGGAGGTTAGGTTTTCTAATTTCTCCCATGGAAATTAAACTTATTCTTTTTTTTTTTCTTGTTTTCAATTGACACCCGATGTCATTATAAGTTAAGTGCTAGAGAGAGTTGGGGGAAGATAAATTAAAATGCATATCTAAGAGTTGGACGCCCTTTCAAACTTGTTATCATCACTCAATGCCATCAGTTTTTATTTCATTTCATTTTCAAATCTATCTTTTCGGTACTGCCAACAAAAGCCCTATCTTTACCTTTATTTATTCACAAGATTCCTTAAGTTAATATACCATTCTCTCACTCTTATAAAAAAGGGAAAATTCCAATAGGTATTGTAATTTAGGTTGAGTGCCAATTTAGTATTCATACTTTAAATCGCGACAATTTAGTACTCAAATTTTCAATTTGTGACAATTTGGTACTCAGCGTTAGACTTTCGTCAGTTATAAGATAAAAAGTCTTAAATACCCCCTAGTGCTATTTCAACCGATTAAAATTACTAAAATAACCCATCAAGCAATGCAAGTAGGAACCACTGTTCATACTTGCATTACAGAGAATCCAAGAACCAGCTCCCTCACGCCGGTGGTGTCAAGCGAATGTACCGCCAAGAAAGTTGATTTCAACGTACACAATGCTGAAAAAGTATTGCACCGCCGAGAATCCGAGAACTAGTGCCATTTTCAAAGGACGACTCTTGTTGCCCATCGCTAGAACACCCACTGTTTACTCAGTTGTTGGCGAAGAGGACAACTTGTTGTCGGTGCCAAAGAGACAACCAGGACTGATCTTGTTATTCAATGGAGGCCGGTTCAGAAGGGGAGAAGAAAAAGCCTCCTAAAGGAGGAGGTAGCAGAGGCGGAGGAGAACAAAAGGTGAAGCGCAAAATGAAGACTACTTCTCAATTGGAACTTCTTGAGAAGACCTATGCTGGTCTGCTAAAATTGTTTATTTTTCTAGTTCTTTTTAGTTTGTTATATTTGTGTTTTTTTATTTCTTAGGGTTTTGATTTATTGGGTTTGGATGCGAACCAGTGGAGACGTATCTATCGAAGTCTCTACGAGCGGAGCTATCAGCGGAGCTAGGGCTAATGGATCGACAGTTGCAAATGTGGTTTTGTCATAGGAGGTTGAAAGATAGGAAGGTTGCGTCGGTGAAGCGACAGAGGAAGGATGTGCCGGTGCCAAGTGGGGTCGGAGATGAAATGATGGTGGGTGGTGAGTTGGGTAATGAGCATGGGTCAGGGTCGGGTTCGGGGTCCAGTCCATTTGGCCAAGGTTAGCCGAGGAAGGTTATTGCTCGAGCATCGTCTGTTGTGCCGAGGACTGGAGCTGATATGCCAATGATGAAGAGGTATTATGAACCACCGTAGTCCATAACTGAGCTGCGTTCGATTGCTTTTATGGAATGGAAGTGCTAGGAATGAAGACAATAGTGGTTCTCCTCTTTCGTTTGCCGACCTCTCTTCTCCTCTTTCATTCGTTCAACCTAGAATGAAGACAACAAGGGTTCTCCTCTTTCGTTCGTTCAACCCAAAATAAAGACAACAGGGGTTCTCCTCTTTCATTTGTTCAACCCAGAGCAAAGACAACAATGGGATTAAGGAAATAAGAAGGGTAAAGGGTAACTTTGGTATTTTGAATTTTTTAACAGAAATCTAATGATGTACCAAATCGTCACAAATTGAAAGTTCGAGTACCAAGTTGTTGCAAATTGAAAGTTCGGGTACTAGATTGTCACAATTTAAAGTACGGGTACTAAACTGACACTCGGCCTAAAGTATGGGGTACCTATCGGGAATTTTCCCTATAAAAAAAAACACATTATGATTGCATAAAAATACAGAAAGGGTGCCATTGTTTTTCTTATTATAAGTTTCAAAACAAAACAAAACTAATTGCTTGGAAAACAAATTAGTTATTAAAACAAAAACACATAAAACCGATGTTTTCGGATCATCATTGACCCGGATTGTCAAACTGTTCAACTCGGAAAGTGGGAACCATCTAGGCAACTAGTTCTTTACCCAAAACCAGTCCATGGCCAAAAACCGTTGAATTGGTTAACAACCCATTGACCTGGGTGGTTGAACCAACCCATTCAATAGTTTTTTGTCATCTTTTTATTTTTTGTCGGAACGGGCCGATAGTTCAAACTGGACAATCAAATTGTCAACCCAAAAACCGGTGGCCAAAACAATTCTAATCTGGGTCATTTTTTAAAACATGTTCTTTATTATATGTATTATTTGTTTTAAGAACTGAAACAAAAAAAAATGTTTTTGAATTTTCGACCCAGATAACATGTTTTTTCTAATTGTTTAATATCATTTATCATAAATTACATAATTTTTATACTATAAAATTTATGTCTATACTATTTATAAAAATGAGGATGTTAACAATTTTTAGTCAAAAAAACTTATTTTACTTTCCCTTTTTACCCTTTATGATTTTTGTTTTTCCAATAATTTATTTAACTGTCATGATTCATGATTTTTGTTAACAATTTTTAGCCTAAAGAGGCATTGGGTGGGCACTTGATCCATCAACCCATTAATGATCCATTTTGGGTTCAATCCAAACCCACCATATCCCAACCCAACCTACCCAACCCATTAATTTTCACATAATACATAAATTCTAGAAAAATATAACTATAAAAAATACACAATACACAAATAAAGATAGAAAATGTAAAAAATAACATAAATTAAAGGGAAAAAATAAAAAATTCAAGATAATTATGAAAAACATAGAAAAGGAAGAAAATAATATAAACTATGAAAAAACAAAGAAATACATAGAAAATTTACAAAAAAATGTAGAAAATCACAAAAATTGATGAAAAATAACTGAAATTACAATAAATAAAGAAACCCATAAATTATGGAAAAATTAATAGAAATTGCAGAATAAAAAAGTTATGAAAAATATAAAAAATGAAAAAAAATATAACAAAAATTACACAAAATACAGAAATTTCATTTCATGGGCCCTATACATGTTTGTTAGTTGGACCCATGTCTTTTAAGGGCATTTGGCCTCTAGGACTGTACGTTATCATGTGTATGCTTGTTAAGTAGGGCCTGCAACTCATGCCCTTAGTTGTAGGCAACATTATGACACATTATGAATTGTTCAATTGTTTTATTCTTGGACAAATGTGTATAGGTGATCAATGTGCCTAGAAGGTGTTTGCATACATGCTACTCTAGTGGTTGGTTAATAAATTTTGCTTCCAACTAATTTAGTAAATTAACATAATAGCTTAGTTTACTTTTAATCATTAATAGTAATTATTTTCATAGGTTTTAGGTTATCACAAAATAGGAGATCGGTTAAGAATGGCATCTCCAATTCTCTATAAATTTTGTGTTTCATTGGAATGAACTATATCTATATATATAATGTTGTTGAATGTAATTTTATCATTGATTTGGTGCATTAATATTTCAATCTGATGCATTTGCAACCAACATTTTATAAATTATGAAATTCAGATCTTGACATTTTGTGATGATAGTCTTTTTTTATATATTATATAATTGTCTTTGAACTTGAACAGTATGTGAACTTTCATCTATGCCTGAGATGTAAAAGCATAGTCAAACATCACCCTCAATATCAAATGCCCCATGCATCGCACGAGACATTCCACTAGTTTTATTTTAAAAACTATCATTTCGATGATTTCAAACAAATATTAGATTTTGGTGATGCAACATCTTCAAAAATAAATGAAAACAAGAACATTCATTTTGTAGAACACCCCAATAAATATTAGGGACGGGGAAAATAGATAACTTGGTATCGGTTTGACATTGATAGAATCTCAAGGCAAATATGAGTGTGGAGCATTATGAGAATAATACACAATAAGGATGTCTTATAATGCAATGCCATTTTCAATTTTGCATGAATAATTTTAATTTGAAAGAACTTTGCATAAAAGTTATGATTAGCTATTAGGCACACCCCATTGTTGACGAACCGTGAACCTCCCCAGCATGGTTTTCGAACAGTCGTTGACCCGGATGGTCGGACTGTTCGGCCCCATGAGTCATTCAGGTAACTGGTTCAATTTTATCTCAAACCTGGTCTCTAGACGAAAACCGTTGAATCAGTTAATGACCCATTGACCCGGGCGGTCGAACTGTCGACCCGTTTAACGATTTTTGGCCGTTTTTATTTTTAATTTTTGTTGTTAGAATGGGCTATCCATTCGAATTGGACGATCGAACCGTCAACCCAAAAACCAGAGGCCTGAACGGTTCTATTTCTGGGTTGTTTTTTAAAACCATGCTCCCTAGTGATAAAATTAAATCCTTTATATCGTGGTAACAACAAAAGAAGTTAAATTATAACGAGTTCTTTTATGCTTTGGTGGGGG